CGATTTATAACAACAAATTTCAATTATGATTTTTGAACACACCTCCTAGAGAACGCATGTACATTCTCATGAAAGATATACAGTAAACTTAAATAAACTTCAGCATTTTAACTCTTCCTCAAATAATTTTATTTCCTCACATCGGAAGACGTAGGCTAAAAAGTAATAAATATAATATCGGAAATCAGTCATCGTCAACTACTATGCACTCAGGGAATTCCGAAACTGGTTACTTTATACACATAGCCAATGTCATTCAGAGGCAAGAATAAATAATGCGTATTAGTTAGGCTGACTCTCCAACCTATCAGCTTCGGAACACCGACTGACTGACACTGAGTACTGATAACCAGGTGTATTTGTCAACTGAATTGAGCCAATGTTAAGAGGGTATCTAGAAAATCTTATCCAACTAAGTCACAGCTCAGGCGACACTAGTGAGACGCAATGACCCAAGCCTCAGTTCAAAAAGTTGTTACATAAGTTCAGAAGTGATAAAGGGCATACGAAGTTATGAACAATTTTATGACGATCTGAAATTTCCCTCAGGTTCACATTCATGCGATTCACACTCGTGCAATAAAGCAAGTACTACAAATCATTCTTATTTTACCTACCGTAGATAGTCGTCTTTCAACAGAAAATTCCTCTTCACTCTCTTAACTCTTTTTCAACTGAATTTAGTCCCTCACGTAGACGTCTAGTCATAGCCTTTTCTGTCTTATGTAACAGTCGATCTGTGCATTGTCTTACTATCACCGAAACCATTCGAACCCTATCAAAGTAGCATAATGAAAAATTGAGAGAAAACTGATAGTTATCATTTTAAATCAATGGCAGCCTTGCTAAACTTAAATTATTCTTGGTGCAGTTATTCGATTTAATTAGAAGTTTATATCGGAATGGAATTTATTTTTTTTTTTATTTTTTTTTTATTTTTGATTACAGCTTGATTCCACACTGTATTTTTGGTACAAGTATGGAATTTTCAGCATGGATATCGGTAGCCCAAAATTCGCAGGCCGACCATAGATATCAGGTGTGCGTCGGCAGGGGATCGAACCTCGGACCATGTGCATGGTCGGCGAGAGTCCTAACCACTGTGCCACCGACGCACAGTTTGTGTATTTCTGAAACCATTACTTCAAATGACTACAAGTATGCCATAAATTTCTTAGTGGAATGTTTGTATCCAGGTGGTTCAAACTTCAATACTATCAGTAGTACATGCGTTTGGAAGTTCTCAACTATGATGATTGACCCATATGTCTGTATGAATATATCAGAGAATGTCTGTTATAGTGATATGTATAGACTTTAGTGTAGACAATACAACACTATCATAATGTACAAATTACCTGAATGTTCCTACTCGGCTGGCGCATTACTGTGTGAAAACTTTTACACTACTTTGTGGATATAAGCCCCGTTAGTCACAATACGTTAGATACTCATTCAATGTTTCCAGCATATTTTAATACTTCACTGAAAGAATTTGGTCACTTTCATGTACATATAGGTTCATATTTCCCACATTTTTCAAGCCGATTTGGAATGGAGTCGCGTTTCTAGATGTGTGGCTTTAGGAGTAATGTATGACTAAGGAAGAGAGAAAGCTTTGTTTTCCTATATGAGATGATGATAAGCAATTTTCAAAGAATCTCTGCATTTTCCATATTGTGAAGGTTGTATTGCATCATGGAGAATGTTTGTGGCCCATTCAAGCAAAAGTTAGGTTAACTTTTAAATAATTTCGTTTACTTCAAGCGAAGTATTCCAAGCATGCAACCTGGAAGTTATTCAAAAATATAAATAAGTAATGTCAGGTGAGTCTCGTTTTCTGAATCCAGGAGAAGTCACAGCTGCATATGTAGGAAACCGCAGCCAATAGTTATAGTGTACACAAAGTTCAACTCCTAAAGATATACAGCAATGCACTACGTAAACATACGCAAATCTATTGGCCTTATGAGGATAACAATGACATATAAGGCAGCCTAAACATTCAATCGTTATGCAATGTTTGTATTGCAAAATGTACACTGAAATTCCAGTACACATTCATCTTCACTCTCAATGGTATAAAACATTAAGTAATTAAGACTATGCATACAGTTTTAGTGAAAATGATACGACATATATTAGATCCACTACAATTAAGCTAATTGGATTAATTTCTCAGAATGAATACACTTTATGTGCATACTCAGGCATTATGTTGAATGAATGCATTATAAAAAGTACATTATTCCATTTCACCGCACTTGTAATAATCGTAACATCCATCTATATTTTTTGGTCTAGCAATCAACAAGGAAGTTAGTGTCACAATAATGATAAAATTAAGGTAATACTTTACACATAGAATCTACATAGTTCAGATTATTTTACTTCATTCAGTACAAACATACTCTAAGTTCATCCATGGATAAGATTTGAACTAACGATAATTTCTGCCCATGCATCCATACATCCAGTATAATAACGCATCTAGACCACTACTTCTGCCACCATGGAGGTCATGTTAGCATTTGCAGGTGACTTCTATATGCTGACAGAATTAATTTGTCAAGTAATCCTCCGCTTTACGCAAAAGTAGGTTGTATGCATATATGCAGAAATGTGAATAAGTCTTCATAAAACGAACCTTGTCTGTCTGTCTGTTTTCGACATAGAACTTTGCATTTATGTGCGGCAGTTCAAGTCGCCACCCTCCATGTAGCAGACAAGGCAAGAGGAGAAAGTAGAAGAAATGCACTTGAGAGACAGTAAACAGAGTTTTGAGACAAAGGAATAGTAGTAACGAAGAACAAAACAGTTTCATTGGAAATCATAAGTCACAAGGACTGGATGCATCTGCGCCATTGAGAACGATTTCGAGCCATATCACCAATTGTTTCCAACCATTGGTTTTTACCGTATCGAGGACTCCAACGGGGAAGTCTACACCTTCCTACATGGCTTAGACCAACTGTTGTAGATTTCATTGACCGGTGCCAAGTTTTTGTTTGACCGCCGCTAGCTTTTTCCAGCCTGACCCTATATCCGCTAACATTGCTCGTCGAGGGAGGCGATGACTTGGCATACGTAACACATGCCCTAACCATCTCAGTCTTTGTAGCTTCACGACTTCGTCGATTGATTCCCTCTGTTTACCTAGAACTCGACGCCTAACTTCAATGTTGCTCACCTTATTATGCCACTTTACACGGGAAATAGAGCGCAGGCACCTATGATCAAAGACAGCTAATCTTTTCATGTCTTCCACTCTCAGTGGCCAGGTCTCACAGCTGGCCATAAAGGAGGACGAAGCGGACTGATGAGCAGTACAACCGCCCTTGGCTCTGAAACATGGCCAATACGCGTTGAAGACATGAAAAGGTTGACTGCTTTCGACCATAGATGTCTGCGATCTCTGTCTCACGTTAGGTGGTTGACTAAGGTAAGTAATGTTGACGTTAGGCGTAGAGTGTTGGGCAAAGAAGGAAAATCAATCGACGAGGCTATAAAGTTACATAGATTGAGATAGCTAGGTCACGTGCTGCGCACGCCTAACTATGGCCTCCCCCGATGGGCATTGCTAGCAGATATAGTTGCAGGTTGGAAAAGAGTATGTGGTGGCCAAACAAAAACATGGCCTCATCAATCCATGAAATCCTTGACAGTTACACTGAATCAGCAGGTAGATGGGGAGATGCAGACTTCCAGGTTGGGGCCCTCGGGACTCTAGCAATCAATGGATGGAGACAATAGGTGACATGGCTCAAAATCGTTGTCAATGGCGCAGATGTATTCAGTCTCTGTAATCTTTCATATCCCTTTCTACCATTACCCATTCTCTTTCACTCTTATACTTGTCACACTCTTTTGATTCTCTACACTCATCTTCTTGTCTACCTTTGTGTGCTATTTAGAACATGGCAACTCGAACTGCCTTACTTCGGTGCCAAGTTCTATGTTGAATCCAGACAGACAGACAGAACGAACTTCATAGTCTAGATGAAGAAACATAAAAAATGTATGACATTCACTAATTACCCAGATACCATTACTAGTGTTAAAAAGCTTCAAAAAGCCACACAAATAGCTTTACTCTCCATCTTTATAGTTTTATCGTAAGTTCAACTAACGCTTACGTGTAAATTTTAAGGGTTCAACAGTGCAGTCAAGTCAACCTGTGCTAATGGACTACCTAGGTTACCACTAAAGCTCTTGATGAACCTGAAACTAACCAAAGTATGATCAGAGTTCAGCAAACTACTTCAGCACAGGCAACGGTCTTGTATCCCGATGATATTATCTATTTGAGCTTAGATTTGAATGACAGACAGAATACGCATGATAGCTTTGAAAAGTTCGGTCTCACTAGAAAATGCTTAACATATATATCATATATAGTCTGAAATCGATTTGTCGTCAACGGCTGCATAAATGACTTCCTCTCGAGCATTAAGCCACACACATTTGAATATTCAACAAGAAGGTTAATATGCATACAGGCTTCTTGGCTATTAAGGTCAGTTCGTGTGAGAAGTAATCTACGGATACAGCTGTGTTGCGATTAATAGAATATTTTTTCCTTTAATTAGACTTATACTTTAAAATATTCATCCTGTCATGCATTGCAGTCTCAACCATAACACACCTGACGTTCATCAAACAGCCACAAAGCGATGAAAGATTAACGTTCAGTGAGAAACAATCAATTAGAAGACTGTGTTTGTCAGCTAACAATCATCTATAATAATGTAGGAGAAAATCTGTAAATATGTGTTGATATACTTAATAAACGACCTGTTTCCTGGCTCTTGTCTTCTGTTGTTACACCGCTATTTCGTCTTATTTTGTCATTTTAGCTCACTTCATTATAAAACAATTGAAAGAGATGTTCAGGAAGCCAAGTACAAGATAGAATTTCTAAACACTACTTATCACGACTAAAATGTGGAAACTTGAAAGTTTAGTCATGCATTAGACATAAAAAAAATCCTAAGAAATGTTAACGTGCAATCACTCGAAACTGAGGCTACTGAATACACACATAATTTATGAGATAACAGGTAGTTCTAGTAATTTTCTGTAGACTTTAGGGCGGAAATACGAAGGGAAATGGTTATATTGGTTGTAACATTTCATATACACGAAGTAATCCTTACGCCGGAATTATATGTCTGACCAGAGCTTAGAAAGAATTCTCCACGTAAGCTATATCATCAGATGTGAATACTAGTTATACCTGAATGCTGTTATATGATAACGCTGGGACTCCATAGGAATAGTCAAATCTCAGAAAAACGTAAAAGCAGATCACAATTTACACTGTAATCAGCGGATAATAAAAACAGTACTAAAAAATCAAAAGAAAGAAAGAATTCTACGAAAATTTGTTTGTTTTTTCTTACAATCACAAAGAATTTATGTTATCATGATCAAGTGAAAATAAAATAATACGACATATAGCCTCAAGGTAATTCACCAAGAGCGTGAACAAGATCAGTGTATATACGACATCCACGTATGAATTCTGACTTATGCAAGTACTCATCATGATCGTGTAATAAAACTGGTGTATTTCTAATTGGGGAAAATCCAATTGCTTCTATTGGCTTAACATTGGTTGCGTGTGGAAGTAGGTGGTATTCACGAACAAATCTGGCATCTGTACCACCAGGAAAAACTCTTTTCTGAACTTTACTACCATATTTTGAACATACATCAATTAAAGTAAACCACCATGGATTACTTGATTCATTTGGGAATACAACTGATTGCTTTAAATCGACACCAGTATTAGAGTATTCAAACTGTATTGACATAAAATAAAAGTTTATTTAAAAATAATACGTAAATAACTAAATACATATATAGAAGTTATTAATTCATTGCAACGTGAAGATGCATGATGAACTCGAATAAACACACATCATTTTTAAACCAACAAATATAAATCTCAGCGATAATTCTGACGTACTGATTTACTCCAGCGTTACGTGAAAACCTAATGTCACTTTATTAAAGTACAAACTTTATACAAAGTATGGTTTCTATACAGAAGTATATACACTGTAGAATCGATTAACAAGCACCTGCCACTGCTAGTTAAATAATTACGAATCAAAGTATTCTTCCTTAGGTGAAAACATACTTGTTCATAGGATCTCGTCTGTCACTGATGTATTCGTGTGTTTCTCCCATAGAAACCATTCGGTTTCTAAAATTACTTAACTCCGATGAAAGGTTATTTACAGAGCTGCGAACATGATCATACTGCGAATAGCCCAAAGTTATCTTGTTCCTTCACTCAAATCTAAGATTAATCAAGAAACTTCCATATCAACATCAATTTACGTATGTTGTGATACAAGGATACTTAGAGTCAGTCAGAAGATCTTTTGGAATGTATTACTTAGTCATTGTTCGAAAGGCTAATGGATCCAGAAACTGAAACAATTCTATTTTTTAAATATTTCGATTCGTCCGCATGTTTGACTTTCAAGTTGTTTGGTCTCATGTATGACATATTGTTGCATATTAAGGACAGACAATTTGCCACGTGTTGAAATAGTTGGGCAAAATGTAGTCTATTTCAAAATTAAATAAACAAGAGGACGTGGCGAATCTGAAAAGGCCATTTAGATTGAAAAAGAAATGAGAAGATAGGGATCAATGAGATCAGATGTAATGGAAGTGAACCCTTCAAATCAGTAATTGGAGAGTTTATATTCTACTCTGGTCACCCAGACGACAACCATGAGCACACAGAGGAAGGCTATCATGATGTCACCAACAGCTGTCAAATCTCTTATGCAGTGAGAACTAACCTCCTTCAGGATAATAATAGCAAGGTTCAACTCAAAAGGAAGGAGACTTACAGTTATTCAGGGTAACGCGCCTACAAACAACGTGGAACAAGAGAAGGAAGATTTTTATAAACAATGGCAAACAGTAATGGATAGGACCCCAAACAAATGGAGATACCGAAATCCTAACGCGTGATAAGAATGCCAAACCAGTAGCAAACAACACAGGAAGAAAACATATAAAATGTCAGAAGGCTCATATAGAGGCGAGTATGAACGGAGTACCCGAAGCAGACTTCTATGCATTCGATGATTTAATAATTGGAGGTAGTGTGTATAAGCACAAGGATATACATAAGACGATATGAGCTTCACCTGAGTGACACACCATAAAGCAGATAGACACCATCTCAATCTCAAGAAATTTGAGATGCAGCCTACTGGACACGAAATTGAGGAGGGTGACAGATGTGGACTCGGACCACAACTGGTTATAGGGAATTCTCAACATCAAACTGAAGGCCTTCAAAGTGGCTGGATATAGACCACAATTCAATTCAGCTGAAGGAACAAACTACAAAGGACGCAGTCACTGCAGCCATCACAGCAAAGTCCGAGACATTGTGGAGTATCACGGAGGAAACAAGTGTGGAAGAACAATAGAACTGTTTGAAACCGATGTTAAAGGAGATCTGTATAACCGTCTCAGGAGGAAAGAAGAGACAAGCCAAGCATAGCTCTCTACGGACACCTGAAAGCTAATAGAGGAGAGAAATACGGTAAAACAGAACATGAACCGGCGCAAAGATGGACAGAAAGAGGAGAAACTGACTTCAACTTACAACAGGCTGCAGGTAAGAGACACCTCAGAACATCGTACAAGATAACCAGGTTGTTATCCAGATAGAAATCAAAACAAGTGAAACCAATGCAAGACAGTCAAGCGAACCGAGTCACCCAAAACTAGAAGCAAAGGCAACCATGGGTTAGTTACTTGTAAGAGCCCCTGAAATGACCACTACCTACAGCTCAGATAGAAATTCCACCGACAACCACAGAACTCTAACTAATGTCAGCTCATGATGAAATCCTGAAACCACAGAACTGTTAGTGAATACCACGCCTCCGACAAAAGCAGAAGTCTTGAACACCATAAAGTCACCAAAAGCCATGAAGACAGCAGGAGCAGGCGGAATTCATCCTGAAGCACTGGAAAAGGATCCATAGACCACAGCAAATATTCTCACGCCACTAGTGCAGGAGGTTTCTAAGGAAGGAAAGGTACCTACTGTTTGCAGGGAAGGTCACTTTGCCAAACCACAGGGTAAGGGTGGGTTAGGCCTCTGCAAGAGCTGGCGCGGAACCATGCTCTTGCCCACCCCAAGAAAAATATTAAGTCGTGTCACTGAAGAGACTAAGAGATGCTTCCCATGCACTACTGCGCCCTGAAAAATGCCGGATTCAGGAAAACCAAACCATGTGCCAATCCTTTCCAACGCTATGCACCATCATCGTAAAGAGCATAGAATGACAGTCAAATCTCTGCACCAGCTACACTGACTTGGGAAAGACCTTCGAAAGGGCTGCCTACGAGGTGATTTGGAAACTGTTTCAGCACTACATAGTACCCCGAACATTTATCAACCTCACTCAGCAGCTATATGATGATGCCACATGTCAAGTGATTCACAACGGAAAACTCATGGAAGCATTCGACGTAAAGACAAGAGTAAGACAAGTCTGCTTATTAAAAACCAATGGTATTCCTGATTGTGATGGATCAGATCATGCGGGACACAGTGAACGAGGAGCGGTGATATAGGAATACTTTGAACCAATAAGACTCTAAATGATATGGACTTTGAGGATGATTTATGTATAGTGCCACACAAATTCGAAGAACTACAGGCGAAAACTGACGGGTTGGCGGAAGAAACAACGAAGATATGACTTCATGGGGACATAGAAAAGACAGAAGTAACAAACACAACAAACCACCCCGCAGCAGTAGCAACAACAACAAGCACCAATCACTATCGACAGGAGGAGTTTAAAGGAAGTCACTTCTTCCACTTATCTGGACAACATAGTTTCAATTACAAGCAACACGAATGAAGATTCCAAAACCAGTCAGGATAGTAAAGGCATAACAGAATTTCATTGATGCAAAATCAGTGTAGAAATTAGATGCGATCAGCATAAAGAACAAGATTCAGATTTTCAACACGAATGTTAACTCAATTCTTCTATATGGGCCAGAAAATTGGCGCGCCATGAATATCATTCCCAAAAATCTGAAGACTCATAAACACCTTGTATTAAACAGTTCCACAGTATATATATATATATATATATATATATATATATATATATATATATCATTCATAAAGAGAAGCGGAAACGCGAGGAAACATTGAACGACGTTTGAAAACTAACTTCGATTTGTCCCCCAGCACTGATTGCCCACTGATTCAACTTCTCCTTCAAACCATCTAAAGATAAGGATGGTGTCAGCCGGATGTCAAATGATGCTAACAACTTTTCAGGTACGACATTGTGTTGTACACCACCACTAATCATTGTCATATTCACCGTTGTTATATCGCCTAATGTTAATTTGCCTTGAGAATTCTCCAATCGTAACTGTTCTTCTTTACGAAAACAGTAAATGCTAGAAATGTCATGAGAAAAATCTTACAGTCTAAATTTTTCAGAATGCATTCCATCTGGCAAATGATTTAAAAATAGACAAATGAAATAAGTGAATAATTAAAAACAGTTCGAGATTCATTAGTTTACCACATTTTACGTTTTTAAGCGGCAGTCAACATTGAGGAATGAGAATTCCAACTTTTTCGTAAAATGCATGGTTAATAATTCCAGCATTAAACCCTTGTGTGCTTTACATTTCACTCTATAGACACAGTAAATATGACGATGATAATACTAACCACAGTTCTGATACAAATGAGGCCTTAGAGATAAGGTCAAGCTTTCGTATCCCAATGACAAACGATCTACAGTGGCTGGGACGAATGTTCCCGGAGATCCTGCCACGCAAACAAAACAGATCGGATATCCGTAAGAAATAAAGCAATTAATATAATCCTGTAGGGAGCTTACAATATTATGAGGGCTTGAAAAGTATGTAGATAGTAAAATGTTTCTCGAGGACAACATACAAGCCAACTATACTGTCTATATGTGACGGAAAGAAGGGGTTGGAAACGTTAACAGCAAACAGTATTCACCGAGTTAGTGTTCAGATACTTGTAGCCATTAATAAGGCTCTGCGATTTATTGTATCTTCATTTTGGGTTATGTGTGCAAACCCCAAGTAGTTATTTCCTGGGATCTGCATTGATGCAGCACTAACTATCTTGCTTCTACGTACACAATCAAGGATTCGACTCATAATCTACAGACATTGATGAGGTATCAGCCATCTCAAAGTTCGTGCCAGCATACAAAACTCATCTGTTCGTCACCTACCTTCATGTAGATTTCATCATCACTCTCGAACACAGCTCCAACTAGTAATACTGCTCCTTTAATAAATCACCAATTTCAGATCAGTATTAATAGCTCAAAACAACGTCTTCAGAAACTATTCTACCTAATCCATATCGGTCCCTTCAACTTCCGAATACTTCAACAAATCTGGCAACAACCCTTATTATCTAAAGTGTTGCTTATGAATCTGTACTGTATATCTGAAAAGCACAGATAGGCATTAATAATGCTTTATTCATTTAACTAATTCTAACCGACATTTGGGATATACTAGATTCAGAAAAGGAGAGTTTGCATTTTCCCCACGAAATTTCATGGCGTTCTACAACATGGAGTCTTTTGCACATCCGAAACCCAGCAAGTATTTGTCGATGTAACCTCCAGTTAAATGCCGACCGACAGTTGATATGCTGGTAAGTCTTGCATACCACGACAACCCATGGAGCTGTAATAGCTGGAATAAGCGTTCCTGAAGGCAGTATTACGCAGCTGATGTTTCACAAATGACGCTTAAGGCAAAAGCAGACACTAAGATATAGTCCAGTTTATTGAAGATCAATGAAAATGCAGGGTGTTCTAAGCATCCTGAGCAAATACTTAGTAAGCTTTCCAAGTGTCTCGCCATTTTCAAAAGTTAGGTGATATAACAGGATTTATCTGTGCTAATTCCTATCGGTCAAATGTGTTGGGCATATCTACAGTTTAGGGGCTTCCATTGGCACTAATGGAGTGTTCCATATTAGATAAGCCTAATTGATAAAGTACACAATGATACAGTATTATTAACTGGATAAATTGTCGAGGAGACCATTGAGTGACACATCACACAGCAGGTTAGTTTGACAAGTGTTAACTTTCCACAACTAAGACACGAGGATACCAATTAAATAACAAGTTTAGTATACAACAGTTTTCTGCATTTATTTGCTAAGACATAACTGGCTGAGATTTGTAAAATCAGATTTTGAAATACACAGGCCTTAAATTTAATACAAATGAAATCAGAAGCCCTAAATCAGTCAACACCAACAAAATGTTATAAAAACCCACTAGACTATGTCTACTGAGAAAGAATACTTATTTTAAACAATAGAATACCAAATAACTGAAACATTCGGCGTAAAAGAGAATACGATTGCATAAAACTTTCAATCGGCTAGGTCATAATAATAAAATTCACACTGATCGTAAACGCGACTACTACCACTACTACTGTGGTGAGTGCTACTTATAATCAGATTCAAGTAGTATATCAGTAAACGAATTCAGAAAAGTAACAACATGTTTCGGGCACTGAAAAAAGCAATCGAAGAAGAGAACTATAGGGAGAATATTATACCGCTGTGGAGAATCCAACAAGCTATCGAATATGGTGATATTCGACCGATTTGTAAATCATGTGCAAATAAAGCATTCAAGATAAGGTATACCAAATTTATTTACCCACAATGTCCTAATAAGCATTGTCTTTGAGCCTCATCAGTCTTTTCTTCTTTATCTTCCTACTACCATTAATTCAGACAATGAAACGAGTACAAAAAATAGAATTGGCTGAAAAGGAAAAGAGGCTTACTGATTTAGGAAAATTCGAAATTTCTCAGCAGCAGTATTTTCAATTAAAGCTAGGCCATGTCCGGCATTCCCATAGAAATATACATTCAACCACACTGGCCGACGTTCATCATAAAATGCTAGATAGTCTTCTGATGAACTTGGTATACCTTCGTCTAAACAAAAACCAATATTCATGTCTGCAAACTTCATTCCTTTAAATTCGGTAAGGTTGCCTACGAAAGGTTTCATCCCCTTAGCACCACCCAATTCTTCATCAGGCACAAACGTCAAGTAAACTGTGCGACGTAATTGTTGATAACCGCGGGATTTCAGTCTTCTAACAGCCTCTAGCTGTTGAATACCAACAGACTTCATATCCTTCAGCAAAAGTGTGCAAACAAAATGAGCAATACACAAGGAAATAGTTTCGTGTAAATAGCATATGCATAAACTACTAAAAGAATTTTTTTTCAAAATAACAACAGATGTAGTAACCTGCTCTGCAAATGCAATATTACGGTGACATTGTTAAGTACTACCATTGAAACAAGTACAAAGCGAAAAGGAAATCCCGATTTCTTGATGAACAGTCATTAATCAGAACAACATTGAAACCCATTCAGCATTAGAAAGTTGTTTCAACCGCGTTTTGGAACTTTCTAGTTGTAGACGCCTAAGACCTTCATAATACAAAGTAAGCATATGATTATTTAGCTAATAGAGTGAATTTTCAACTCCTGTCAATTCGCCAAACAATATCATTGCCAATAAAAATCACCAGTGAGAATTTATCTAGCTATGTAGACACTAATGAGAGACAACTAAATGTTACATAGTATTAAATACTGTAAGATTTCGAAAACCTCCGGAGAAATTTTACCACAAAATCACTTTTAAACTCGAGATTCTGTCACGAAATCTTTTGAAGGCTATAGAGACTTGTTGTCTGAGTTCATTGGTCTCAGGTCTTTGTTTATGAGCCATTTGCTACCAGGGTTATTTGGAAACTTTGCAATTCTCTGTCAGAAGTTTTTTGGAGCATGTTTTGGGGATCCTTGAGATAAGCAAATGAATGGGATTCGTTTTATGCTTAAAGGAACAGTACTTTGAAAACCCATAAACTTTCTGTTCTATACAGTCTTTCTGTAAAGAGGTATTTGTATTGAAATATTATCCTTTCTTAGCAGTTGAATATCAAGGAAACAGAACACCCTATGTTCGATTCTGCTTCCAGAGTGAAGTTGAGGCTTAAATGAGCATTACTGAAGGTAAAGCACAAGCTTTTTAGATTCAAAGATGCATCATAAGTAACGGAAGTAATATCAACTGCTAAGAAAAGATTATAATTCAATACGGTACATTTGAATGGGAAATAAAGCCTTCTACGACAAAAACATATTATGGGCATGCCATTCCAGGGGATCGGATACTTTCTGCTCCTAGATAAACCTGAGATTAGTCTCGAGAAGTGGAGAGGTAGTTAGTGTATATTGTGATATCATAAAATAATGAGCATATCTTATTAGGTTGATGTCCATTTCTCATCATGACTTATCGAGTAGTGTTCACGATATTATATGACTCAGTGATCTGAGACGGTGCTTTGAGTATTATACGACACACGTCGTTTTGTAGATCTTTTTTTCAATTTGGAGTATTGAGTGCTTCTGAAAGTGTGGTAATCATAACAACGCATGGAAATAAAAAATGAAGTTATGCAAAACTTATGTACCTGAGTTCCTCGACCGTATATTTTTCCATCTGAAGCAATTACGCCACCGAACGGTGGGAATGACCACTTCTCTTGCACCACTGGTACTACATCCATGTGAGAGTTTAGCATAATTGCAGGTAGTTCCGCCTGATATCCTTTCCAACACATGATAACAATAGGATTGTCAGCAACAGGTTCAACCACACTGCATTCAAGTTGTAACTCCTCACCTAAACTGACAAGCCAATCAACTGCAGGTCGATAATTCGGTTTTGGATGGACTGTAGCAAACTGAATGTATGAAACAAAGTTCTTCACAGCAATCTCATCCAAATCTTTTTCTTTAACATCATTCATTGTTGGCTAGAAATTGAGTAAAAGAAAGACTTTTATGTTAGTACACATGAAATAATTTGCATAGCGTTAAATAACTGCTCATGACAAAATCGACTGAGTGATTGTCAATACAATTAATTGTTGCAGACTTTCATCAACAGCTTCATTCGCTCCATTCTGAAGATCAAATGGCCGGCCAGAAAGAATAAGTAACAGGAAACTCTGGGAACAAAACAACCAAGATCCGATCGCTCAACAAAGATGTAGGAAAAAACGGAGATGGATCGGGCATACATTGAGGAGACAGTCGAATGAAACTGAGGGCCAGACCATTGCTTGAGTGGAATCCCAATGGAAGAGACAGGTAGGTTGTCCCAGGGTGACATGGAGGAGATCGTGTGAGGAAGATATGAGATATTATAGGAAATCGTGGACCCATCTGAAGAGGATAGCAGAAAATAGAACAATGTGGAGATTTGTAGTTGAGGCCCTATGTTCCACTCAGAACCCAAAAGAATAATAATATTAGTACAATTAAATATTTGGACTTATAGGTGAGTAGGATGGCTAAAAATATAAGCATATATATATATGGTAGGGTGTTTGGATGTTGTACAGAAATGACGGCTGTTTATCTAGAAATATGAATCGAAGCTTCTCGGATGCATTAACATAAGAGGAAGCACATTAGCACACTCCACACTACCATATTTCTCAAGATAATAGAAAGAAGGAGACAATATGAAAAGATGCAAAACAAATAGACCTTTGCACGTTAAGCAATGAGAACTACTTATAATTCCCAACTGTCTACGTTAATGAGATGAGTTTCGGGTGCATTGTTCACTGATTATAAAGCAAGTGTGTACAACAATGAACCACAGCTGAGCCAAAACTATCCAGTTAAAATACAAGTCCTGTTTTTTTGGGACTCTTCATCAGTACGCACCCACCGGGATTCGAACCCAGGATCTTCTGGTTACAAGGCGAGCTCGTAGACCATTGAGCCACCGGGACCCGATCCAATGGTCCGTGAATTCTAACTTCTGCCAATTCACGACATGGCGTACTGCTGAAGAGTCCCAAAAAATAGGACGAAACAGCTGTCCAGCACTCCCAGGTTTTCCAGTGGTTCTCTAACTGATGTCAGCTCATGGGGAAATCCTACATGCAATCAAACAAAATCCCTACAAAACCAATACTTTAAAATACAAGTGTTTTAAAGACAAGTTTGGAAACCATTGTGTCTTAATAAAGAAGAGAAGCAGTGAAGAAAAAAAAAACACCGAATTCCAACAACACATGAATGTAAAAACAGCTAGAATACTTGGAAAGTATAAAATACACATCTGAATTTAGAATGTTTCATGAAGTTAATATTTGTAACTAGGATAATAATTAGGGTCAAGATAAAATGGGAACAGCAATTTTTTAAAAACTGAAACACCAAGATAATCTACTCTTAATCTAGATCGCAATTCAAATCATGACGACAAAATTGATATAGCATCTTTTGAAATCCAGTGGATGAAGATCGCCGAAACTGTATCATTAAAATATAACGCATAATCAACGGAATTCCAAAACGTATCTTAAATAGCACTGGTACAAGTAATTTGTGAAGACTACCAGCATTATCTGAGTTTCTCGTGACAAAAATGTCTTTTATATAACATAATAGACACATTTTGCGTTCCACGTCTACGCCAGAGATGATGAAACTTGACAAATGTAAAACAAGCGTTTGCATCTGTGCTGAAATTTCGTCAGCAACTCATGCAACTTCGCAAATACGTGAAATGGTCACTTCATTATCTTTAAAGTAGAAGTCAGTGGAGATCGGACTTACAGAATCATCTTGTATTCTGGGGGAGCAAATTGCGTGCCAAAACATTACAAGGTGTTCAGAAGACCCTGCACTTTGTCAGCGTGTTCACCTGGAAGGACAACATCGTTCGCATACTCTAAATCGACAGGACTGTTCTCTGGTAACAACTCAATCTCTTATTAGCAAAATTCGACCAGGGTAACCACCATTAGTATATCTATGATGAAACGAAGTAAAAATGGGGACAGTGGGAATCCACGAAGGACGCCACTTGTTGTCATCACTTCATAAGACAACACTCTCTAATCTCTTGCACGGCTGAGCGAGTCCAAGATAAGAACACTGATTAATGTGATATACTTTCGAAGCACTCCATGGGCAGACATTTTTTGATTACAGCTTGATTCCACACTGTATTTTTGGTACAAATATGGAATTTTCAGCATGTGATGTCGGTAGCCGAAATTTTGCAGGCCGATCACAGATATCGGGTGTGCGTCGGCAGAGGATCGAACTCCGGACCATGTGCGTGATCGGCGAGAGTCCCAACCACTGTGCCACCGACGCACACACCTCGTGGTCAACAGAGTCAAATCCCACCTTTAAGTCAAGAAATATGGTAAGTGTTGGATACCAGTATGTATGTCTATATTCCAGAATCTGTCGCAAAATACAGACACGATGTACAGACCTTCCTGGCCTAAGGCATGTCTGGTGTTCTCGCACATGTCTGTTCAGAGCGAAGCTTAGTCTACACATAGTAATTAAACCTAGAGTCATATAGACAATATTAGTCAACCTGTTTCCTCTATGATCTTCATATTCATATAAGGAGTTAGTTATTTCTTCACTAAAAAAGACGTTTTGGTTTCATCAAGAAGTTACGGGCGCCAAATATACCTATATTTCTGCTAAACACTTCAAAAAGACTGCATTTTGAAACCGTCTTCATTCACACGGACTATATTATCCATCGTAGCCTAACAACTCCGACTTTTACGATTTTGTTTATCTTTAGCCCCAATTCCTCTCATTAGAAACATATGTACTGTAATGCTCAGAATTATTAACTCGTAGTTATCACAGGCGGATCCATCAGCTGAGATGATCAATGATTTATACTAGTCTGTTGGGACTATCAAGGAATTCCATACGCTAGCAAATAAAGACGGCTGATACAGTCAATAAGTTATCACCATCATATTTAAAGACAAACTGGATATGATGCTAAGCATCCTGCAAGTGTTATGTTGTCGAGTTCAGATAAGTGTCCAGCTATCCCCCCCCCTGAGTATAGACTTAATTTTCCTATCAAAAAGCTAGGTACCTAAGGCACGTGCTACTGCTTATCTTCTACGTGCATACGCGTGTCATACCAATGCATGACTGGGATACAAGCAGGTGTTCTGTAAAGAACGGCAATCCTTCACTGACGCTCTCCACCGACAACTCGCGGTTAAGTGGTCTGTCGTCTTTCGGCTGGATGTTTATGATAACCAGGGTGAGGAGGTCGGTAATATTTCTCCTTATAATTGCAACTGGTGCTGGCTAGGATTGGATGGTGATCTGGACAGAACTGTAAGAGGTGATCGGCGTTGCTCGTCAGCCATCATAGAATTTCAAAGACATCTACAACAAACTATTTAAACTGGCTCAACTTCTCTACTTAAGTGTTTTGTTCTTAACAATAGACTAAACCGCTCATCATAAAACCCATAATTAACTTTTCTCAAGGGTAGGCAGATAGTACATGAGCAACCATTACAAAAAAATGTCGACGAGCACTACCAATTTTCCTGATTCTCTAGGACCGTGGTGTTGTAGCTTATTGGTCTAGGCTCTCGACTTACAGTCAATGGGTCACAGGTCCGAGCCCCATTCCACCTACCGGGGGTTAGGAAACCAAGTAGCATTAGAAGCCCTCACACAATAGATGTACAGCATCGCCGACTCAACGGAATCGCAATTGGTTGTTGAGTAGCCTTTCATGCTCAATAACACAACCAGCTGAACAGCACGCAAACGACTTTACAATGGGATCTTGTCAAGCAGGAAGTTTCCTACTTCCAAGTTCAGTAATAGCTCAACACCACCATGTTCACGAGAACTAGTAATAGTATCCCCTTTGACACAAGTAGGGTGAATTTTATAGAGCCACTCTGTTGGAAAGCTGCCATTATGTTAGTAACTATGTGTGTCTCAGAAAAACAACATACATCCATAACCTGAAATGTCGGCCATTAGAAGCTCAAATATGAGGTTTTCAGAATCGTTTTGAGAGGATAAAAAGTAGCGTTGCTCTAATTAGAGTTGCTAGCAGCGGTCACAGAGCTAAAAGGAATTGAAAAAACTGTCTGAAGAATAGAATTAACGATGGGATGACGACATGTGATGAACAGAAGTTGGTGTGCTGATGAGTGAGTGGACGATCGTTACTTCCCAACCGCGTAAACCATAAAAGTTGGTTTCGTCAGATACATGGAAGTGAAAAACGACTAGTGTTGCGTGACAATGCAACACAGCAGAGTTCAGTGGATAATTGCTCAACAACGGTAGCACCATGTGTTTCAAAAGAATTTCTCGTAGCAGTGAAGAAGACCTTCTCGTCGACTACAGACTGTCATGACATACGTCGGCATGCACAACTTTGTGATTCATCTTTCCAAACATCCATTCTCAAGAGCAGCATGGCATTATAACTGGCTTGTTACTTGTCTGGCGGAAACAAATGGAAACTGAAATTCTCTACACAATGTGTAGCTCTCATGGGGTAATGGATGACATTGGTATTTGAAATGATGGGTGTTGGTGAGAACACCACTGCCTACTGGGGATGCAGGTACATAGAGCTGGTTAGTTTCACAGATGGTACAGAGGGTGTGCACTTAATTATACTGCTAGTCACCAATATCTACATAACTCTAACTTCATTTAACGTCCTATCAATAAGATAGGACTTATCCAGATAATATGAGTACCGTGTTACGTAGCTCTTTCATTTTCATAGGATTTCTGAAATACAGAACTAGAATGCAAAATGTTGTGAAAACAATAGACAACTACTGCAATTCAAAAAAGATACCTCTGTCACAGTATTCCTGATGTAGATGTCTGTCTGTCTGTTTTCGACATAGAACTTTGCACAAATGTGCGGAAGTTCAAGTCGCCACACTCCGAGTAGTGCAGTCCTTCCTCCTTCTTACTGATCCGTTCAGGCGGACAGCACACATTCGGCTATCTACCGGGATCCAGTCAAGCAATGTCTTTTCTGCCCTAGTACTCAAAGCTATCCCTACGCCAGCTAATCCTCGTGAACTAGCTGTGGCATCTCCTGACACCCTCAAGGTGAATTTTGCAGATTCAACCTGTTGGCCAGGTGGGGTTAGGTGAATAACCACACTTGGATCTTGTATGCGTGTTTCTGAAACACAGCATACATCAATGGCTCGTGATGCCAGGGTCTTGGCTAGTGATGCTTGTTGTCCTATTTGGCAAAGTGTCCTAACATTAAGAGCTCCTATATGAAATTGGTGGCGCGGCTTTAAGAGGCTGTCGGTGGTGGTTTTTGGCTTCCATCGTTTTTAGTGGACGCAGAGTGGAGAGGAAGTGGAGAGCTATCAAGTCGAGGAGTTGCATCAGTGGAAGGAAGGCAAGATAATAGAGATGAAGATGAAAACAAAGATGAGTGAGTAATAGAGAGGTTTCGTGTGCATTTCGGATTGTGAGGGCGATTGTTACTTCCCGGCTGCCCACACCGTGGAAGTTGGTTGCGTGACCGCAGAGCCCAGGGGACAACTGCTTGAGGCCGGTCACACGCGGCCTGTTTTTGTTCGTTCTTTTTTGTTTGGTGTGTCTCAGTAGCAGATTTATCACTCCCGCCCTGTGACACGGCAGCAGGAAGCGCGGTCGTTGTTAATCCGGGCCACGGCCGATCCGGCATGAAATTTTGTGAATTTGTTTGAATCATGGTATTGGATAGGTTAGCTGCTTTTTGTTTAACCGCTATCCAAACAACCTGCCTGGCATGGTAGAACCTCAAGAGACATAAGTCTCAGCCAGTATAGCTTGATTAGGTCATTGCGGTGTTCAAGCCCGACCACCACGTCAAGGTAGCAGCTTTCGGTCGGGAATGATGACTTCTTAGGGACACAATGAGTTAATAACGATTTCAGAAATAAAACAGGCGAACACACACATGTACAAAGAAAAGTTTAACAAACTGGATAATCACAGGTTTATTACAAAATATGCAGAAAAAATTCACAAGACTGATAGTGGCAGAATGTAGCTATTCTGGATTTTTGTTTGCTATTTTCAATATTTTCTTCTTCTTCTTCTTGTTTCTCTTTATTGAGACAAGTGATGGTTGTGTCTTTTTGCCAGTCGTTGAATTTTTCACTTTTTTATATCGCTGTACCTTCCGATTTGCACGCTGATCCACAGTTTGAGCAACAACTGTTTTTAATGATGGAGATTTATACTGCGGTAGACCATGGTTACCACTATACAAATGAGAATGAAGAGCATTGTTAAACAAAGTGTCGTAGGTAGTATTATCACCATTATTGCATGATTTTTGAATGAGCGAAGAAGTATATGACTGGAATTCATGTAGAGTAAATTCACGGACCATAGAGCTACAAGCATACAATTGAGGACTGATTTGTACAACTTCCCATGATTGTTTCGGTTCAACTATGGATGACTATATACAAATAGATAAGACATAAACAAGAGCTGATATTCAAAGTCAAAAAATGACCGCAAATCAGATATGCGAAATTACTACTACTAGAACTGCATCAATTTCGAAATTCAACATAAGGAAACAATGATGAAAAGTGTTCAGATTAAAAATAATAACAACAATACAACAATATGTAAACAGTTATCGTCTTTTCCTCCAGATAAGAACTGCTGACATTTTCAGTTTTCCCGCAATTACGGGAAAAGGTATTGGGTAACGTCTTTTTAATACTTTTGATTGATAATGATTCAACTTAGCCATTTAATAGCAAGCAGCAAATATAAACAGAACCATAAGAGCAGCTTGGTTAGATTGAGACATACCAATATAATCCTAAAAGCAACAATCTTTAAATCTTCACATTGACGTTGAGTATCTGCAGTAGGTTGTAGTAAGTCATACAAGTTGTAATGTTTTCCTGAAGGATAACAAGAATTCTTAATTGGTGCTGCCTTCCATTCACTCAAAGGAGGCTATCTAGACTTTGTACATTAAAAAACTGAGCTTTGCAGAATTCTTTATCCTACTAAAGGTTTATAAAGAATAGCTATTATAGGTGTATAGTCGGTAAAAGCCTCAAATACTTCACTACTGTTATCTTCGTAATATAGCCAGGTTATGTTAAAACTATAACATGTGCAATGTACAGGCTAAGGTTTGTAAGCCCACTGATGTAATCAGTTTTCAAATGACTGAGATACACGCCAGTCTTACGTCAAGCAATTTCACATTTAAAGACCAAAGCATCCTGGTAACACATGAAGTCAGTGACTTGAATAGGACAAAAAAATGTGGAATTTGTGACTGACGCTTATGAAACAAACGAAATCGCTGATTCGCAGCAACAAAAAAATACTCAGAACCGATCAAACTGAAGTAGGTCCATTCATACGCTATCTTTGTCACAATATTGTGACTCTATATCAGATAATATTGTGCTAGTAGCAACAAATTACAGAGCACTATGCCAGTAGATTGAAACTACTGAAATAATAGTCTAGAGAATCTATCTGGGAAACTGTCTGTCTAAAAGAATTTGAAAGTTGTTTATGACAATACCATTTATCTTAAAGGCTAAAGGGACACTTGCACAAATGAACTGCCATTGATTATAAAGTGACCAACAAACTTCATCTACCACTTCATCTATTTGGGTAGTTGTATCAGCACCAACGGACTGATGGGCGACGAAATATCCAAAAAGCTCGGGCTGCTTTCGCTGACTTACATCGTCTCTGGCGTAGGCGTGACATCCGGCTATCAACCAAAGGACGTGTGTACTGCTCATCAGTTCGCTCCGTCCTTCTCTATGGCTCTGAAACATGGCCAATACGAGTTGAAGACATGAAAAGGTTGACTGCTTTCGACCATAGATGTCTGCGATCTCTTTCTCACGTTAGGTGGTTGACTAAGGTACGTAATGTGTGACGTTAGGCGTAGAGTGTTGGGCAAAGAAGGAAAATCAATCGACGAGGCTATAAAGTTACATAGATTGAGATAGCTAGGTCACGTGCTGCGCACGCCTAACCATCGCCTCCCCCGACGGGCATCACTAGCTGATATAGGTGCAGGTTGGAAGAGTAAGTGGTGGCCAAACAAAAACATGGCGTCAATCCACGAAATCCTTGACAGTTAAACTGAGTCAGGTAGGGAGATGCAGACTTCCGGGTTGGGGCCCTCGGGACTCTAGCAATCAATGGATGGAGACAATAGGTGACATGGCTCAAAATCGTTGTCAATGGCCAGCGCAGATGTATTCAGTCTCTGTAATCTTTCATATCCCTTTCTACCATTACCCATTCTCTTTCACTCTTATACTTGTCACACTCTTTTGATTCTCTACACTCATCTTCTTGTCTACCTTTGTGTGCTATTTGGAACATGGCAACTCGAACTGCCTTACTTCGGTGCCAAGTTCTATGTTGAATCCAGACAGACAGACAGAACGAACTTCATAGTCTAGATGAAGAAACATAAAAAATGTATGACATTCACTAATTACCCAGATACCATTACTAGTGTTAAAAAGCTTCAAAAAGCCACACAAATAGCTTCACTCTCCATCTTTATAGTTTTATCGTAAGTTCAACTAACGCTTACGTGTAAATTTTAAGGGTTCAACAGTGCAGTCAAGTCAACCTGTGCTAATGGACTACCTAAGTTACCACTAAAGCTCTTGATGAACCTGAAACTAACCAAAGTATGATCAGAGTTCAGCAAACTACTTCAGCACAGGCAACGGTCTTGTATCCCGATGATATTATCTATTTGAGCTTAGATTTGAATGACAGACAGAATACGCATGATAGCATTGAAAAGTTCGGTCTCACTAGAAAATGCTTAACATATATATCATATATAGTCTGAAATCGATTTGTCGTCAACGGCTGCATAAATGACTTCCTCTTGAGCATTAAGCCACACACATTTGAATATTCAACAAGAAGGTTAATATGCATACAGGCTTCTTGGCTATTAAGGTCAGTTTGTGTGAGAAGTAATCTACGGATACAGCTGTGTTGCGATTAATAGAATATTTTTTCCTTTAATTAGACTTATACTTTAAAATATTCATCCTGTCATGCATTGCAGTCTCAACCATAACACTTGGAGTTTAAGAGAACGTAAATACAAGATGTTAATTTTTCCAAAATTCTACATTTAAGGTACTTGAAACATAAACTCTAAGATAATGCACATAGCTCATAAGCAAAACCTAATTGGAATCATCTATGAAAATTTCTGAAACACAACAAATAAACATGGTGGTTTTACGTTATTTTAATGAATTCTGTTTGTTATCTGACCTGCATCCAGATGCGAGAAAGTGGTTTGAGGATGATTAAGACAGACATATCAAGGAAAAGCAGGACTGTAAAAATAATTTTTAAGCGAATCAAAACGGTACAGATGAACAGAAGCTGTAAGTGAGTGCCGATAAAGATGAAAATCACAGACGTAAAACAACGAAATCCAAGAATAGTCCAAGCTAACAGTAATATCCTTATGATATAAATAGGAATAACTAAATTCGCAGTCATTGCATGAATTCAGAAACTGTATTTTAGAGCGACAATCATAATATATTAATCTGTTACCTGTCTGTCTGTCTGTTTTCGACATAGAACTTTGCACAAATGTGCGGAAGTTCAAGTCGCCACATTCCGTGTAGCACGCGAAGCAAGAGAAGAAAGTACAAGAAAAGCATAATAGAAACAGTGAGCAGAGGTGTGAGACAAAGGAGTAATAAAGAAATACAAAACAGTTTCATTGAAGATCATAAGTCACAGGGAGTGGATGCATCTGCGCCACTGAGAACGATTTTGAGCCATGTCACCAATTGTTTCCAACCATAGATTTTTACCGTCCCGAGGACCCCAGCCTGGAAGTCTACACCTTCCTACGTGGCTTAGACCAACTGTTGTGGATTTCATTGACTGATGCCAAGTTTTTGTTTGACCGCCGCTAGCTTTTTTCCAGCCTGACCCTATATCCGCTAACATAGCTCGTCGAGGGAGGCGATGGCTTGGCATACGTAACACATGTCCTAACCATCTCAGTCTTTGTAGCTTCACGACTTCGTCGATTGATTTCCCCTGTTTACCTAGAACTCTACGCCTAACCTCCATGTTGCTCACCTTATTATGCCACTTTACACGGGAAATAGAACGCAGGCACCTATGATCAAAGACAGCTAGTCTTTTCATGTCTTCCACTCTCAGTGGCCAGGTCTCACAACCATAAAGGAGGACGGAGCGGACTGATGAGCAGTACACCCGCCCTTTGGTCGATAGTCGAACATCTCGTCTACGCCAGAGTCGGCGTAAACTAACAAATGCGAAACGAGCCCCTTGTATTCGTGCTGAGATTTCGTCAGAGATCAGCCCGTTGGGGCTGATGGTACTTCCCAAATAAGTGAAGCGGTCAACGTGCTCTACCACTTCACTTCCTATTTTTAAACTAGGCGTCGATGTAGTCCAGTCCTGTAACATCATCTTGCATTTGGCGGGAGCGAATCGCATGCCAAACATTCGTAGATTGCGGCTCAAGGTGTTTAGAAGACTCTGCATTTCGTCAGCGTCTTCGCCTAGAAGGACTATATCGTCTGCATATTCCAAGTCAACGAGATTATTCCCGGTAGCAAGTCAATCCCTGAATCGCTGAAGTCACCTAGGGTTAAGTCCATTAACACATCTATGATGAAGTTGAATAGAAAAGGAGATAATGGGCATCCTTGACGGACACCACTGGTCGTCATCAGTTCAGATGACAGCTCGCCGTAAGCCCTCACCTGGCTGTATGAGTACGAATAGAGTGCCTTAATCAGTGCAATATATTTTCTTGGAATTCCCTTTACAGCCAAGCATCTCCAGAGAACTTCCCGATCGACAGAGTCGAATGCTGCCTTTAGGTCAAGAAATATAATGACTGTTGGACGCCGGTAGGAATGCCTATGTTCTAGAATCTGTCGGAGGGTGAAGATATGATCAATACACCCTCTTCCTGGTCTAAAGCCTGCCTGGCTCTCTCGTGTTTGTGCTTCCCGAGCACCACTCAGTCTACGCATGATTATTGAGCCTAAGACTTTAGATACTATATTAGTCAAGCTAATCCCTCTGTGATTATCACAGGAAGACTTGTCTCCCTTCTTGTATATGGGGATAATCAGTGACTTACACCAACCCGATGGGACTTCTTCTGATTCCCAGACGCTGCCTAGTACCTCAGTTAATCCGGACAGTAAGCTGTCTCCACCGTACTTAAATACCTCTGGCGTCATTCCATCAGGTCCCGCTGCTTTGCCTAGTTTCAGATTGGTGACAGCTTTAGTAACCTCAGTTAGTGACGGAGGACCTGTATCTATATCCCATTCAGGGAGGTGTTGGATGCTCGGAAGGTTGAGCGTGGCTGTGGGCAAATTAAACTGCTCCTCATAATGCTCTTTCCAACGATCCAGTCGTCTATCCTGTGAGCTAATTATAGTGCCATTTTTTTCCGAGATTGTCTCACTAATGATTTGTCTTCTCCCACCCGTTTCCCTGATGAGTCCAAAGAGTTGCCTGGTGTTGCCTATCCTCAAAGCTTTCTCCATCTCTTTGGCTTTTGTCGCCCACCACTGTTCACGGTCCTTGCGGAGACTTTTCGTAAGTTTCCTCTTGTGCAGCTTTCGCTCCTCATTGAATTCGGAGCTCGCCGGAATAAGTCTTCTAGCATCTATCAGTTCGGATGAGGCGGTGGAGATCCAGTGGTTTTTACTCACCTTTGGGTTTACCTTATTCACAGCTTTTACAGCTGTATCTATGGCTGCCTGGATATTTTTCCAAGCTTCTTCAGGGTGAGCACAGCTGTCGAACACAGATATGTGTTTAGCTAGTTCTTCCTGAAATACGGATTTAGTTTCCTGATCGAGCTGGGGACGTGATGGTTTTACCGCCAGCTGTTTCCTACGTCCGTTCAGTCGTAAGCACACCCGAGCGCGGACCAGTGCATGGTCGGTATCTACGCACGTGTTCCAGAAGGAGCGACAATCTCCTACCGACCCACGCCAACGATAGCTTATTGCTATGTGGTCTATTTGTGTCCAGCGTTGGTTTGATGAAGGGGGTCTCCAAGTCAAACAGTGTCTCTCCTTGTGTTTGAAGTTAGTGCTTACAAGAAACAAATGATTATCAGAGCAGAACTGTAGGAGACGGTCACCGTTGTCGGTTCGCTGGCACGGAACTCCATAGGTGCCACCGACATCCTTCTCAGATTGACACAATTTCCCTACTTGAGCGTTAAAGTCACCAGCTAGAACGACTATGTCTGAGCGTTTAGCCTTTCTCACCAAACTAGACAGCTTTTGGTAGAACTCATCCTTCGTTTCATCTGAACTGCAGTCAGTGGGGGCGTAGGCGGAGATTACGAAAAGGCATCGGCGAGTAGTGCAGTCCTTCCTCCTTCTTACTGATCCGTTCAGGCGGACAGCACACATTCGGCTATCTACCGGGATCCAGTCAAGCAATGTCTTTTCTGCCCAGTCTTTGTTAATATAATTCGGAGGCCGTACAACATGCACGACAGCCAATTAGTGAAGAGCTAGATGGCTTTAATTCACACTGTAGATACAGACTATGTTTCTTGTTAGTTAGTTCAACATTATCAGACTTATTATTATTATATTATTGTTCCCTTGGGTTCCTAGTGGAACATAAGGCTTCAACTGCACGTCTCCACTTGCTTCTGTCTTTTGCTGTACTTTTCACCTGCATCCATGTTAGTCCATACTGTCTCAACTCCTCTTCACACAATTTCCCCCATGTCACCCTTGCACTGAAGTTCGATCGGGTTTTGTTTTGTTTGTTCCCATAGTTTCTTGTTCGTGATTCTTTCCGGCCATGTGATCTTCAGTATAGAGCGAAGACAGTTGTTAATAAAGGTCTGGTCTGCAACAGGCTGTTGGAAATATTCTTCGTGACCCGCCCGCCAAGTTTCTGATCCGTATAGAAGGACTGACTGACTTGACGTTTGTATTGAAAATCCAACTGAATTTTGTTGTTGATACTGAGTGACGAAGATTTCCAGATTGGTTGCAGGTTGGTGAATGTGTTCCTCACCCCCCTCCCCGATTCTCGATTTGACATCCTCGTCCGTTCCGACTGCATGTAGTTGAGACAACGCTCCCTCCTTAGATAAGTCAGTGAATGAAGTAACCTCTTTCAAATCCCTTCCGTTGATGGTGATTGACGCTGGATGTTGCTGCTGCTGTTGTTGTTGTTGGCTGGTTATTTTCATCACCTCCATCTTGTCTATGTTCACATGGAGTCCTGTCTTCGCCGGCTGCTTCTTCGACCAGTTTGTCGGTTTTCGCTTGTAAGTCTTCGATTTTGTGTGACATCAAACATAAATCATCCACGCGCGAAATCCAGGTCTTCTATGTTCTTCACGTCGGTCCAGGATATTCCTGTCTTCTCGTTTCCCACTGTCTGACGCATAATCCAGTCCACCACAATTAGGAATATCATTGGTGATAGATAATAAGCACCCCTATCCCACTGCTACGTTTACTCCAAACGCCTCGCTGAGTTTTCCGTTGTGGATCACTTGACATGTTCCGTTGTCGTAAAGCTGTTGAATAAGGTTGATGAATATTTCGGGTACGCCGTAGTACTCGAGTAATTTCCAAATTACTTCACGATCAACGCTGTCGAAGGCCTTCTCGAAGTCTATAAAGTTGAGGTAGAGGTTTGATTGCCATTCCATGCTTTGTTCGATGATGAAGATGCGTAGAGTCGCAATTTGGTCAGTACATGATTTGACCTTCCTGAATGCAGCCAGCTTGTTCTGGTCGGAGTTCTGTATCCAGTGCATCCTTTATTCTCTCCAGGATGATGCGACTCAGGATTTTACTTGGCGTCGACAGGAGCATGATTCCTCGCCAGTTCTTGCAGAGTGAGGCATAAGTCACCCTTCTTTGATAGTTTCACGAGGTAACCTTTCCTCCAGTCAGTAGGCGCCTTTCCCTCCTTCCAGACCTTTTGCAATAATGGAGTCAGCATATCTGCTGTAGTCTCCGGGTCCGCTTCAGGGGGTATTCCATCTGGTCCGGCTGCTTTTCAGCTTTCAGAAGCTTGATTGCATTCAAGACTTCAGCTCTCGTTGGAGGATTGGTGTCAACTCGCAGTTGTGTGCGCGCTGTCGTTGGTATTTCTGGACGGGTTCCAGGTAATGGTCGGTTTAAGAGTCCTTTGAAGTGATCCGCCCATTGTTTAATCTGTCTGTCTTCCTTGGTAATGGGCTTCCCTTGGCTGTCTTTTATAGGTTTCGCTTGTGTTGGTCTCTTCCCGGATAGAGATTTGGTTATCTGATATAGTGTCCTCAGGTCCCTTTTGACTGTTGCCTTCTCAGCTTCAGTGGCCAGGTTGTCGTAGAATCATCTTTCGTCCTTCCTAGCACTCTTCCTCACTTCTTTGTCCAGTGCTGTGTAAGTTGAACTCAGCGCCTTCTTCTCTTGTCCGTCTTTGCATTGAATCATTTTCTAATTCACCGTTCTCCTCTCTTCTATTAGCTTTCAAGTGTCCATTGAGAGCCATTTCTTGTCTTGTCTCTTCTTTCTTCCTAGAACCGTTGAACACGTTTCTTTGAGAATCGCCTTCAGAGAGTTCCAATGTTCTTCCACGCATGATTCTACAGTGATGTCACGTAGTGTTTCCTCCTTTGCTCTGACAGTTGCAGTGAAATCTTCCTTTGTGGTTGTGTCCTTCAGTAATTCAGTGTGGAACTTGCATTGTGGCTTATCCCCAGCTATCCTCGAGGCTTTTAGCTTCAGCATTAAAGTTCCTTTTACTAGATAGTGGTGTGAACCCACATCTGCTCCTCTCCTCGACCTTGTGTGCAGTAGACTCCATCTGCACTTTCTTGAAATTGAGATGAAGCCTATTCGGTTTTTGGTGTGTCCATCTGGTGAAATCCATGTCGTCTCGTGTATATCCTTGTGTTTGAACACACTGCCACCAATCACCAAATCACTGAAGGCGCAGAAGTCTGAGAAGAGTTCACCATTGTCGTTCATTTCACCGAGAGTTTCACAGAACTTTTATAAGATAGCCTATACTCAGATTTGTAGATGAAGAGAAAGAAGTAGTGCAAGACACAACCTAGTTGAACAGTTGTGTCAATTTTGGTGAGGATTTAACCAGTGATCTCTCCAACTTTATGTAGAAAGCTATATTGGTTTGAACTCATGGGGTGTTAGCCTGGTCTCTAAACATTGAACTTACCAAGCTCTACTGTAGAAGATTTTATTCTTTATCTGTGAAAACACTCAATGATACAAGATATAACTAGATACAGCAAGAAATGTACACCAGTAAGGGTCATACTGAGAATGGTTGCCAGTTCATTACATTGCTTTTAAAACGACTTATTTTCCTTCAGTCTCGTATTATTATTCTTGCAGAGCAACTTTGTTAATACCAAGGCGTCGTATAGTGTTTTAGGTAAAAAATACAAGATGTTACCAAGAAATACAAAAAGGGTTCCATTATTGAACCACCCTCCGAGTTTCGATTACAAATGGCGTATCAACAAACGTAAACAAGAATGAACAGAGAATCGACTGGGGAGATGTGCAAATCTTAAACATGAACGAACACCGTTAAAGTTCTAGAAGCTTGGAGATCAGAGGAATTTGCACTTGATAAATATTGGTCTAGGTCAGTCACATGAAAAAAGAGTCGAATATCAGATGAACGTAATGATCAATGACAATAGAAGGTAGAAGTAAGGAGAAAAGCAACCCGAAAGACACCTAATCATATCAGGGAACATTACGACAAATGATTTTTACATTCATAAGGGATTCTAAACACTGACGATGTTGCTCAAAAAGATACTGAAAGCTTGTAAATCAGACTAAAAAGCGTTTGTACAACAGTAGCGTAGCCAATATCCGACAATCAAAGATAACCGCTTGAAAGTATTACACATAACTGCTTCGCATTGCATCATCCCTTTATCATTCGTCAACCTCACACCACTACATATCCACTGTTTTGTCAACTTGTAAAACACATGATATTTCTTGCTGTATAACTAACAATCGACTATCTTGGCTGAGAAGTGTTCAAATACGCAACTTTATCGCCTGCAGAACTTCTTACTAAAATCCTTTTACGAGGACAACAAATATTCAACATCTAGAACGAGAAAAATAACCACTTACATTATCAGAATGCCTGTCGTCCACTTCAAATGAAGGTGTTTTTCGTTTAGTGCTCCACTTAGCTGAACTGATATTAGTATTACCAACACATGGTGAGAATAGAGTATCAAGCTGCCGAAATATATCCAAAAGATCTGACGGAGCTTCATTAGATGTAGAAAATGCAAAAACTGCCAACTACACAAGTTTAAAGCAAGATAAGACAATAAGATATTGAAGCATACTAAACATGAGTTCATAGTGAAACATATCTTGCTGTCATCAAAAATTCTTAAAACAATCACCGGAGAGTATATCCAACACTTAACAACGAACTACCGCAAATGCATGTAAATTGATTAATGCAATTAAAGTCTCCATGAGAGGTATACTTATCTACTTATGGAGGACTACGTAAGCATTTATGCGATGTCACAGATTACTTTTCTTACTTTCATTGTCACTGAGCTGAACTCATTGTTAAACATTGTTTATTGATTTATTCAAGTAATAATTAACAAGCACACATTTATTCACTCCTTGTGTATTTCAAATCTTTTGTTCACACTACCCTCAAACTTTCCATTATATTACCTATAAATAAACTCAATTTGTTTTGTTCTTTCACTACTAATTGTCTTGTATACATGTTTCCTGTTCTGTAGTGTATTAAGAATTATGAACTGTTTTTCCCTTTCAGACAAAGTTAAAGTATAACTCCATTATGGATAAGATTTTATTTTTGATAAATCACACAGTGTTGTAGAGTTAATATTACTGCACAACACTGTGTGATTTATCAAAAATAAAACCACAGTGCCCAAGATTTTTATTTATATCAAAGTTAAAGTATGTTATATACTTAAATTTATTGGCAATTATCCTTTTGAATTTCGACTGTTAGAAGGTGAAATGAAGCTGTGAAATGAGGATACTGCATTGGCTATATGTACTCACCTCTGCTATGTTCTAACTTTACATCTAATTTACCATGTATTTTCAGCTAACATGAACAACAGAACAAAGATACCTACAATCGAAAACCTAAACTGTTCACACTTTGCAGTGATATTCACAAGTTGCATATGAATCACACAAACAAGATTGATTGGGAAACCAGTAATTTCATCAGCCATTACAAGGCTAGAGTAGTTATTAACCCAAGACCAAAATATTTAGGTAACTTCATGATCGTGCTTTTTCAATCTAACTAATGAAGGTAATTTCATTTTGATACTCAAAGTGGTTTGCAAGACTAGTAATTTACCCATCACTAACCCCAATCCTTCATATTTTATAACTACCGAAAGAACAAGTTTACTCGATGCACGCAATGAAGTTGATTGTGTGGCACAATCAAAACCGAATAGACGAAATGGGACTCAAACAACTGAACCACCAGGAAAACTAATGCGTGATGGTGATAATTGAAATTCCATATCTAATTTTTTAAATAACATTAACAGAAACACATACTTTTTTTACTTCTTTCAATTTGGTGGTAACCAATTCAGGTAAACATCCCGACGGTCTAACAGATATCAATCTAATATTTAACAAATCACATAAATTAACAAGGTGATGCACATATTGTGACTGTAACCAGCCAGAATCGATAAAAACGCAAAAAATTTTCTTCCCATCAATTTGACTGTTCGCCCCACTTTGACTATAATTTTCCAAACGTCGAATTATTTCATTTGAACCAAAAAGTACATGAGACCTAAAAAGTGAAGTGACAATACTTCAATTATCTGAACACACACCTTTCTCTTATCAAAGTTTACCGAGTAACTACTATACTTAGGTAAAAATAGCCCCGATGTAAGTATCAGGGTCGGACTATAAACAACGAAACTAGACAAGACAAAGGCATTACTCATTGGATTAGGAAGTTGACTTTTAGTTAGCATTTTCTGGAATTAGATCCCATTCAACCTATTTCAAAAAGGCATTGTTATTCCTGCCAAACAAACTCTTTCATCGCCTGGCATTATCTAACCGCACTGCAGTGTACTAACTTCTACGACTGGTAGACGAAACATGAAGTTTTTGAAGAAACACACTAATGTCATAAACAGAAACGCAAGTGAAGTTTGAACTTTTACAGTCAGCATTCTAAAGTGGAAAACTCATATTTCATTTAACAATAAAGAGGAGTTGTGGATTACTAGTCCAAGCCCAGCAAGCTACTGGTTCAAACATTGTTGCACCCATAGATTTTCGTGCAGCCAGACAGTATCATAAATTCATACATAACAAATTGAGCTCACTTCCTAAAGGATGAAGACCCATTGAACTATCCAGTACCATATTTACACGTAAATTATAGAAAAAAAGTAACACTTTATCACATCACGAAATGACTTCAGCAATAGATAACTTTATTTTAGGCTGCGACACTTGAGATGATTGCTGTGAAATATTTCTACCGCTAAGTTACTCACCCCTAAATCATGCAACAGTGATCCAATAAGTGGAAAACTTGAAACTGGTGTCTCTAAGAAAGCTAGATCATCCACCCAAGGTTAACAAGTCTGCCCTCACTCAATGCATAGAGTATACACCGCATACAAATCCTATTCACTGCCTTCACATAGCGGGGATGTCCCTCACGAAAGTTAAAGGGTCAAATGAGAACGCCTGGTGTCTACAACCGGACTGACAGTCTACTTAGGTGAGCTGGAAGACCGTGATTCTGGACCCATAGCGTGCATAGGCTTCAGGGATCCGAAGCGATCGAATGGCGTTCTGGTCACCGACAATCATGGGGACGCAGTCTCACTGCCTCATAGATCAGACCTACTTCGGAGGTGACCCCTTACGACAATCATCTGCCTCTGTCTGGGAATATCTAGGCAATGTCCCGGCCCTCGAACTAATCATGAGGTTTTGCATGGTGTATCTCTTCGTGTCCAAAATTTCTTAACGATAATAATAATAATAGTAGTATACCACAGCATTTTCACGGATAATAACAACTACTGTTAAATATTCTTATTACAATCAATTAAAATCTTACATCAATTTGTGAGGAAGGTGTATGACTGTTAAGACATAAGATGAATCTCTTATCCACCTAAGAATGAACTCATTTACTGCTATACGTGCTGTGGAAGCACATGCGTAAAATAACCGAGAGCGAAAGCAGTGTTGCTAACATCTGAGACGAAATTACTGAATACGCTAAGTTATATAACTAGTTGTTTACTGAAAGTGAATATACATATAACATATCAAAGTACTATTGAGCGAAAGACATCAATATGGCAGTTGGAAATAACCCATGATAAAAACAATGTTTACAGAAATTAACATGCGTATTTCATAAATAAAGAAACCGTAAAATGTTATTCAGTACTACAAAGCTATTTACAAAATTGCCAAATTTAATCAAGAAATATAGTTACCAAAACATGCTATGATTCGAAACTTCCAACCACTCATGTTTTGTTTCTTTCTTTAGTAAACGACGAAGTCTCCCGATTTTCGGCAAATGACCAACCCCATGGCTCTCTGAGTAAGTATTGTCATGGTTGGAAGCAATTTGGGGTATTTGTAGTTTCTGAAGTTCTACACCTATATCGTTGTTTTGAAATATGCTTAGAGATTGATATATGCCAAGAATGAAATTATGTATTGATTACCATTTTATTTTGTTGCACAGCGTATGAGACCTGTCAATGATGGGTATTCTAAGTGGTTGAAAACTTTGTGATTAGAAATTTACTTGTCTATAACTGCTAATGAACCAGGCATACATAGGTATTTGGGTGGAGGTATTTCTTTCTTTCTCCTTAATTTAACCTCCGATTTACGTAGACCACTAAAGGTCTGAGGATAACTTGAAGCTAGTTCATCCATAGGGAAATACGTTAATCTGAAAAAGCAAGAAATCATTTCTGTAAAACTGAGAATGATAAATACAATATTATCGGAGTGTGAATTAGGAGCTTTATACCATCGTAAAACACATGATAAGCAAAACGAAAGTAAAGCACGACGTATTTGAAGTTTGTGGGAGATTCCGCCTTTTGACAATCTATACTCTGGATGCCGGCAAAGTAGTCTAATTGAAGTCCATCCTTCTCTCTAAGATAAAACACATTAAATGGAGATCTGCGCTGTTATTTGCCTTTAAGACTCATCAGACATTCAAAACTTTGGTACTTGTATGTTTTATATGGCAATAAATTTTAAATTGATCAACTGAGATTTTCGAATGATAATTGATACGTAAGCTGATACTGAGGAATATGAGGTGAGTGAATATAAACTGAAAAGATTTGCCGCAAAATCAGACCCACGCGAACTTCGAAAAGGGAGTGAATTTTACACGCTCTTGTTTAATTTCCGCTTTTGTTGTATTATACGCTCAAAAAGTCTATAGATTAACTTTAAATCAGTTTTCTCTGGTAAAGTTAGTTTACTTTTCAGTTTTGAGTCTATTTAATTATAGGAAGTTGTGTTCTTATAACTTAATAGTTAGACACAACCATTTTTGTGCACTCATTGGTTTTTTCATCACTGATTTATAAAGGTCATATATATAAGGTCATATTTGGATCCTTTTGTCCGAATTCATTCTGAAAAGCATGCCTATCAAAACTAACCGCTGTGGAGGGGTCATGTGCATATTTCTAGTTGAAAAAGGAATGCAGTGTGATAACTGCAAGAGATGGTTTCGTACCATCTGCACAAACCCAACCCCTGTAGCATACAGGCGCTGATGCAGACCTCTGGCGAACTGACTGTGCAATGACTGCTGTAGTACGACTAAGTTTTGTATAACGGAAGCCATTGCCACTCTCAGTGGGGCTCTAGAGCTCTCAGACTGCAAGGGTCCTCAGGCGAAGAGCGACTACTGCTCAGACACTGACGACGTATAGAATCGGCCAAAAGCCTGACTCGACAATAAATCAGCCGATACGCCTTCTCAAAGTCGTACTAAACTCCAAAGAAAAAATGGACGCCGTTCTAAGCAACCCCCAAACTCTTAAAGGATAAGGCATATATGTCTGTGCTGACTTATGCCTAGCAGACCACGTCAAAAGACAGTCTGCGGCTTTAGAATTAAGCGAACGGCGCTGAAACAGAGAAAACGCCCTAAGATTAAGGGTTTTTGGGTTGTCAAAGTTCGAAGTTTAATGATCCTGAAACCTCTATGGGTAGGTCGTGGAAGCACCAAACTGAGTCGACAGTTTGCTACGCAAATGCCCGCAGCCTGTTGAACAAACAGGCTGAGATGGGTAATATGACAGACTCCGGATGTAATTATCATCATAGAGACATGGGTCACGCCCGATGTCACTGATAACGAAGTTAACCTGACAAACTTCAAAGTACATAGGTTGGACCGACTAAGCCACGAAGGATGTGACGTAGTCATCTACCTCAAGAAATGACTAACCGTGCGTAGCATCGAAGCACTCACTCACGAAAATGAATTGTCCGAACTTCTACGCTGCAGAATTAAATGCATAGATCAAGATATTGACCTCATTACTACACACCGCAGTCCTGACTGTAGTTCAGATGACCTCCTAATAGAGAGCCTAGTCTCCTTCACTTTGGAATGTCGAAGTCTTGTAGTCGGAGACTTCCACACCACAACAGTTGACTGGACGAGCCTTGCGACTCCATCCTCAGACAACTCCTTTGACCATGAACTGCTGGAATCTAGCATTTCGCCAGCCCTAGTCCAACATGTTATTAAGCTCACGTACTATGACTCACAGCACTCCTCTTCAACCTTGGACCTAGTGTTCTCCCTTAGTGACAATGTGGATCTCATACAACATCTTCCTCCTTTAGGAAGAAGTGATCACGCTGTGCTCACTTTCAAGTTCACAGAAGCGGTATCATGGGTCGAAACCGCAGCTCCATCAAACGTTTGGAAAGCTGATATGCATGAGATCATTTCAGCAGCCAACTCACTGAACTGGTACATGAACGCAGAGTACCAAGTAGAAGCCGCATGGAACCAGTTTGAACAACTTTACGCCCAAGTAACTGAACCTTTCATCCCTTGGTCTGTCCCAAAGGGTCAGAAACATTTTCCCCCTTGGACAAACCGAGAGATTCTTAAGTTACTCAGACGTAAACCCAATTGTTGGAACCTGGTTGCGACACTTGAGACTCCTGAGACCAAGAAATTATACAACACCGACAAGAACAAAGCCATTGCAGAAATCCGCCAATTGGGGATGAAGCACATATGACTCAAAATGCAACGGCACAATCTAAGAAAATTTTCTCGTACATGAACTTCAGGAATACGACATCCAATGGTGTCCCAAACTTGCCTATTGACAATGACATAACCGAAGAAGATCAAGAAAAAGTTGACTACTTCTCTCAAGTCTTTACACAGGAGTCGTTACTCCCCCATTGGATCAGCCCTGGCTGAATCAGAGTAATACGGGATAGATTCCGTTGACGTCGACCAAGACATCGTGCTCAGCTGCCTTACGAAACTAGATGCAGGGAAGTCAATGGGCCTCGATAATCTTTATCCAAGGCTTCTTAAGGAGCTATCAGCTCACATAGCCGACCCACTGACCACGATCTTCAAACTGTCTCTCCTAAATGGAGTGTTACCGCGTGACTGGAAAGACCCCATAGTAACTCCCATCCAGAAAGGAGGAACAAGACAAAGCCCTTCAAACTACAGACCTATTGGTCTCAAAAGCACTTTAATCAAGACACTGGAAAGAATCATCAAGAAAATTATCATGACATATCCGGAAAGCAACAATTTGTCATCCAGAGCACAGCACGGCTTCTGAGGAAACCTGTCATACCCGTCAAGTCTTCTCAATGCAAGAGAAAGCTGGGTCAAATCAAGGGAGAACAGAAGACCAGTTGACGTCGTCTTCTTCTTAGACTTCAGCAAAGCCTTCGATGAAGTTCGGCACAAAAGACTACTCATGAAGTTGGGAAGTCTTGGTATCAAAGCCAGCTTACTAAACTGGCTCAGGGAATTCCTCATAGATAGGAGGCAGAGTGTCAGGACCAACTTAAAACTCTCCTCCTGGACTCCACTGCGTAGCAGAGTGCCACAAGTTACTGTACTCGCACCTCTCCTATTTATTTTGTATATCAGTGAGTTATCTCTGCTCACCGACTCCCCTATGGTCCTATTCGCAGATGACATAAAAATCTAGAGAGAGCTGTAGTGATATGCTCACACTGCAAGACCTCAACAAATTGTCAGAGTGGTCCAGAGAATGGGTTCTCCCTAACAATCAAGCGGAATGTGCAACCATGAGCATCGAACACGCAAGCATTAGCTCCTACGAAGTGGAGGGAATAACACTCCCAAAAGTCGACTAATTTGGGCTTAGGTGTCACAGTAAGTCACAACTTAAAACTACAGCATACTGTCGTGCGGTGGGTGCAAGTAGTGTCAGATCCTTGAGGACAATTCGCAGAGCCTTTACTAGAATCACAAAAGATATGTTCACATCCTTATATGCACATCTGGTGAGGTCAAGACTAGAAAACTGTATCCAGGCAACCAGTTCTTGTCTTAAAGGGAACTCAAATGTTCTAGAAAGGGTCCAAAGGAAGGAAACACGTAAGACTCCTGGCATTACTAATCTACTATACGAGGAAAGACTACGCAGTTTAAATCTCCTCTCCCTGTCATACCGTAGACAGAGAGATTTAATTACAATGTTCACATTTTTAATAATGATTACGGACCTGACCTATCCTCTATTTTCTCTCCCACCAGATCGGAACACAGCAGGAGAGTTCGAAAAGCCAAGAAGACACCATATTGCTGTGGAGTACTGGTCCTCACACCGAGTCATAAACTATTGGAACTGACTCCCAGGAGAAGTGTCTGCGACCTCAACTGATTCATTCAAGAAGGGTTTGGACAAGCACAAGAAATTACTAGGAAGGTATTAACATAGGCTCCAAGCGCTACATCTTCAACTAACAAATCTGAATCTGAAATATTCTTCGTATTATACATAAACTAAAAAATGAAGGTTAGCAAGATGTCGTTTCTCCCACCGCTTGTCATTTAGTGAAATAATCAATTATGTGCAGAATGTAAGTCAAAATAATATAAAAATACATTTTCACCTACAAATAAGAAGTCAATCAAGGCATCAATGCATAGCAACTTAGTTTCTTATCAGGGAACACAACTTCGCCATAACACAGTGATACAAAGCGTTTATTAGATAACGTTTCTGATGCAATTTACAACTTTACATCAGGGTCAGATCTCAACTTCCAGTACATTTCATTGCACTAACGGTATTGGAGATGGAACAACAGGAAACATAAAAGCCATGTCTAAAGATTGTGGGGTTACCTTCTTGTGATTATGAACAAAAAATTTCTATTACGTGATGTAGCGACTGCTATTATTCCTCTGTGTATTATACCTAATATACACAGCATGGATATCAGGACAGCTGAACCACGCCAAACTAACTGTATCATTTAAAAGTGCCACAGCTTCAGCATAGGAAAGTCGTAAAGGGATGCGGATAGTTAAATTTAAAATGTGGGACTGCTGCTCATTAGTCTAGGCTCATGACTTCCAACCACTAGGCAACGGGTTCGAGCTCCACCTCACTTAACAAGGTTCAGTTAGTTAGGTAGTATGAATAGGCTTTATACAATAGGTTTGGCTTATTGTTCACTGTGTAGGAATGAAAGTGATGTTTGAGTAACAATCCATCCTATCCCAACCTTATAAAGAAGCAAATGAAGATAAAGACATCAGAAAAGGGATTTCGATTATTTTGTCTCTCAATTGACCATTTGCTTTATCTAGTCACAAAATTAAAATTTCAGCAAGACCGAAGATAATGTACCTCAAACACTCAAACTTAAATGTAATAAAGATAAAACTTGTAGTCGTTAAGGTACAGGCCTACTTGCAAACACCGTCCTATTAAATGTTGTCTTCAGAGGCTTGTACGTGGATGACACACCAGTGGCTTATTTACCGATTGCTTCGCTAGACCTGGAGCCGATAGAAAAAGCTGGAGTTATTCCTCCTGTCACAGTATCGAACTGACACGTTTCCGCATATCACAACTTTACTATGCCGGCCAGGAGGCGATGAGACCCACTAACCCGTAGAGTTATCAAATATGTCTCCGAATCGAAATCAATTTCGAACATGCTGGAGTTTCTTTGTTTTTACATCACTGAAAGAAATATGATGTAATGTACCAACTTCCAAACATACTTGATATGTACACTTATGTGGTTCATCCCGTCACTCTCGTTCCTCTACATTGTAGCCTTATAATTCAAAGACTTATAATGTATCAGGTTTATATTAAAATGAACGACGAAACGGCACTACCTATTTTAGGCTATGAAGAAAAACACTCACCAAAAACTAAAGAAGAAAAGCACATGACGTTTTCGTCTGTACAGAACAAAGAGTGCTTTGAAGTCATGAAGTACATGAAGTTTGCAATACCTCAGTTTTGTACATTTCGGAATTCAGTAAACAAATACGAGTCTTAACGTGAACTTTTTCGAAAAACAACTTAGTACCAATTCAGCATATTAGTAAGCACAAAGGCAGTCTTGAAGTTAAAATACTTAATACCCAGTGAATGCTGTCACACGCTTGAAACGTATGCTAGGGTGAGATATACACACAAAACTAAGACATATTGACGCACAGCAAATAGACATAGGCACAGCCTCTAGGCCATGCTGAAGTGGCCTTGAATGGAACATAGCAAAAGCTTCAAATATTCAATAGATACTCGAAAAAATACTGCTAGGCGTGATTCCAGTCAACAGAAGGATGCCTTCTAATTCGAAATGTTTTCTCATAGCAAAAAACAAATATCTTGCCGTATAGCAGAGATATCTGACTTTTTGTGTGGTATTGTGGTAGACAACCTTCAAGTCATCGGCTTATAAGAAGGATGTGTAGTGCACATTGTACCTTTGAACTTTTGTTTAAACTGACTCACCCACGGTGATCCACGTTTTACCTTTTGAGTTGTGAGTCTTCCGTACGTTCATTGGTTCGCTCTCTTGTTGTGCTCTCTTTCTGCACACTCTCCGAGCCTACCTCCAGTAACGTCTGCAGCTAAGTTGTACAGTCACTTTATTTATTAAATCTGTTATTTAGTTACGTTAAATACAACTCATACTAAGAATTCTTTCCATTGTTAGCTTTTAAACTTTGATTGAGTTAATCAGTACTTACACGTTAGGTAGAGTACTCGTAAAGTCATAAGACGGTGAAGTTTTTAGTAAGTGTGGTGATATCGAAGACTATCTTAAGTCTAGCTTCAACACTTACAAGTGGTGAGCCCGTTTTCACCGTTTTCCGCTATAGTAGCTTAACGTGTTAACAATTCTTTTTACGTACCGTTTATTTTGTTATTTTTTTTTCTTTCACGCACGGTTATAAAGATTTGATTTGTTTTCTTTGTACTTATATTGGTTTTTTTATCACCTTGTTAATATTGTGCCCTGTGTGCAAGATGGCTGACAACAGTTCTGCGTCAGAGATGGCTATAACGCTGCAACTCCCCGCCTTCTGGACACATCGTCCAGCTGCATGGTTTAATCATATAGAGGCTCAGTTTGCCATTAGACACATACACTCACAAGAGACCAAAGTAAACCACGTGATTGTGAGCCTACCCGAAAGTGTCATAGACGAGGTGGCTGACGTTCTCGCAGATCCGTCTCCGGATCGGTACGAGCGGCTCAAACAGGCGTTAATTCAACGAGTCGCACTTACTGACCAACAGAAAGTGCAGGAACTTTTCCGCGATGTTCAGTTAGGTGACCGCAAGCCCTCACAAATGTTGAGGCAGATGAAGCAGCTAGTGGCGGACTTTAAAATTGACGAGGTTTTTCTCAAACAACTTTGGCTTCAAAGATTACCTCAGGCAGTCCAGGGTATCTTAGCACCGATCTACAAGTACCCCTTACAGGAGATAGCCGAGGCAGCTGATAGAGCCGTAGAGGCCATCAATCCCAAAATTGGCATTTCCGCAACAGTAACTGCTGCTCCCGCTCAGACTAAAGATTCGTCTGATGGGGGGTCATCAAGCTTTGACGCGGTGGCCCATATAGCCAAGCTATACGAGGAGATCTGTAGTATACGACAGGAGATGAACTCCAGGAGTCGTGGACGCAGTCCCTCGAGTTCGCGTAGTAGTAGACCCTTGCCACGTGCTAGCAGCAAGCGCCGACAGTCCCGAAGTAACCAGCCTGGAGTGTGCTGGTATCATCGACGTTACGGAGCAAAAGCCCAAAAGTGCACTCGCCCGTGCACCTTCGATGTTCAACAATCGGGAAACTAGCAAGCCAGCACGTACTGGCGACTAACGTCGCTGGCGAACCACTCTCATGTCGCCTCTTCTATGTTACCGACCGTAACACTGGGATACGCTTCCTAATTGATACCGGAGCAGAGGTCAGTGTAATCCCACCCACAGTAGAGGAGCGCAGGCGGCCAATGTCTCTTCAACTACGAGCCGCAAACGGTTCGCCAATTGCTACGTTCGGCAGGCGCTTTATAGATCTTAACATCGGTTTGCGTCGTTCACTTCGTTGGGTCTTCCTGGTGGCAGACGTTACCACAGGTATAATTGGCATGGATCTATTGCAGCACTACCAATTACTGGTAGATACAGGTAATCATAAGTTAAGAGATCCTGTCACAAACCTCTCCGTCAGCGGTATCGTCACACAAGGCCCAGCCCTCAGCCCTGTATATGCCACACCCACTAGCACTGGTCCTTATTCGCATATACTGCAGTCTTTTTCAGATTTGTTCAAACCTAGCAGCGGCCTGCCATGTGCGACTTCCAACGTCAAACACCATATTGTCACTACTGGCCCGCCAGTTTTCGCAAAGCCGAGGCGACTATCCCCAGAAAAACTAAAGGTTGTCAAAGCGGAGTTTGAGCATATGCTAGAAATGGGGATTATTAGGCCATCCAGCAGCCCGTGGTCCTCACCGTTGCACCTGGTACCTAAGAATAACGGTTTAGATTGGCGTCCTTGTGGCGACTACCGCAGACTAAACGCACAAACTGTTCCCGATCGCTACCCTGTCCCTCACATACACGATTTAACCGCCTCACTCAAGGGAGCTCGAGTATTCAGCAAACTGGACCTTACACGGGCTTACTACCAGATTCCCGTCGACCCCGAGGATATACCTAAGACTGCTGTGATTACACCGTTTGGCCTGTTCGAGTTTCTTCGAATGCCTTTTGGCTTACGGAACGCTGCCCAAACCTTCCAGCGTTTTATACATGACGTTTTGCGCGGGCTTGATTTCGCCTTCGCCTATCTGGACGATATCTTGGTAGCTAGTCCAGATGAAGCCACTCATCAACTTCATTTGCAGACAGTTTTCCAAAGACTTGTGACACACTCCCTCACACTCAACTTGCCGAAGTGTCAGATTGGAGTCACTTCCCTGAAATTTTTGGGACATAGGATAGACAAAGATGGAATTTATCCGTTACCTGACCGGGTAGAAGCTATTCAAAACTTCCCTCTACCCACTTCTCCCAAGGCACTACGCACTTTTCTCGGGATGGTTAGTTACTACCGTCGCTTTATCCCACAGTGTGCTCATATCGTGACCCCCTTGACTGATATGCTTAAAGGGAAATGCAAGTCTTTGGTGTTCACTAAGGAAGCCTCGACAGCTTTTGCAGCTATCAAGAAAGCTATTGCTGACGCCACAATGTTGGTCCATCTAGATGTTCAACTTCCAATCAGCATCTCCGTAGATGCCTCTAATACTGCGATCGGAGCCGTCCTACAACAGCGTATGGCTAATGTATGGCTACCGATTGCTTTCTTTTCACGTAAACTTACCGCATGCGAATCTCGATACAGCACATTCGGTAGGGAACTTCTCGCTGTCTATGCTGCTGTCAAGCATTTTCGTCACTTCGTGGAAGGCCGGCAATTTACGGTATTTACCGACCATAAGCCATTGACGTACGCCCTCCACACTACTTCAGACCGGTATTCACCGCGAGAATCACGCCATTTAGACTATATTTCCCAGTTCACTTCTGATATCCAGCACGTTTCTGGATCGGATAACGCGGTAGCAGACGCTTTGTCTCGCGTATGTGCTACGTCCGTACCACCAACCATCGATCTTCATAAAATGGCCGAACTCCAACTGAACGATTTGAACTTAGAACACCTGTCAAATAAAACCTCACTGAAGATAGAACGCGTCCCCTTGCTAAACAGTGAGGCAACTATACTTTGCGATATGTCAACTGGTACTCCTCGACCGATTGTTCCCACGTCTTTACGCCGAACTGTGTTTGAGTCACTCCACAACCTCTCCCATCCTGGCATACGAGCAACGGACAAGTTGATTTCTGCGAGATTTGCGTGGCCCGGTATGAACCGTGATGTGCGTCAATGGACACGTGCTTGTGTGCAATGCCAACGTGCTAAAGTCACCAAGCATAACATCACGCCGTTGGGGACGTTTGCGACCCCAGACGCTCGGTTCCATCATATCCACCTGGATATAGTAGGGCCTCTGCCCCCGTCTAACGGCTGCTCGTATTTACTCACATGTGTGGATCGTTTCACACGTTGGCCGGAAGCCATTCCGATACCAGATGTAACGGCTCAAACCGTCTGTCGTGCCTTCATGGAAGGCTGGGTTGCCCATTTTGGATGTCCCGCAACTGTCACTACCGACCGCGGACAACAATTTGAATCCACAAGCTTCAAAGAATTGTTAGAGATGCTGGGATGCAAACGCATTCGCACAACCGCGTATCATCCCGCGGCAAATGGCCTAGTAGAACGTTTCCACCGTCAACTCAAAGCTGCGTTGATGGCAGTGGACAACAGTAAGTGGACAGATTCGCTACCACTGGTCCTGCTTAGCATCCGGGCTACGCTTAAGGGGGATCTGCAGTGCTCGCCAGCTGAATTGGTGTACGGTACCACCATGCGTTTACCAGGCGAGCTAATCGCTCCCGAAACTTTCGAGCCAAATTTCCCGATACCACCCGTTACGCTCAGCAACTTAAAAGTTTTATGCAGCGACTCCGACCAGTTTCCACACGCACTCAGAACCGAAAGGTTCAGGTTGATCGGCGACTTGATGACTGTACACACGTTTTCGTGCGTCACGACGCCATACGAAAGCCATTACAACCACCGTATGACGGGCCTTTTAAGGTCCTTAGTCGTAAAGATAAATTTTTCGTTATTGACCGATGCGGCCGCCCAGACACTGTCAGCATAGACAGACTTAAAGCGGCATACACTGAAGAACCTTCACCCTCCCCATCGGCTCAATCAAATAGCCCCACTGAACCTAGTCCTTGTCCAGACTCAACTACCTCACCTCCAGTGGTGAATGATGATTCTCCTACCGTCACCAGTAAGACCCCTGTCACACGTGCTGGTCGACGTGTTCACTGGCCCAAGAGGTTCGTAGAATTCTTTCACTGAACTAATCCATAGGTAATGCTACTAGTGATTTTTTATTCCTTGTCACAATTTCTTATTCAATTCTGCTATATTTAATCTATTTGGTCCCGCTTCTGGGAGTAGTCGTTTTAACCCTCACTAATCCTTTTAATCTTTATCTCTCGTTACAGAGGACCAGCAGCAGTTTGTTTTTACCCCTAATTTTTCATCTATTTCATCTCAATCTACTCGCTAGATCAGTTGGCTTCTCATGTCATCTTGTAACCCACACCAAAAGAGGAATTATGAACAGTATATTACCTTTCACTGCCCATTTTCTTCCAAAAAAAATTAATTATTATTAAAAAAAATTTTTATAAAAAAAAGAAAATACAAAAAAGTAAA